CTTCTACTTCACTGAGACCCTTCAGCCCTAGCTGGTTTGGCTCAGTGGATAGAGCGTCAGCCTGCGAACTGAAGGGTTCCTGGTTCGATTCTGGCCAAGGGCACATGCCTGGGTTGCGGGTTCAATCCCCAGTAGGGGGCGTGCAGGAGGCAGCCAATCAATGATTCTCTCTCATCATTAATGTTTCTATCTCTCCCTCTCCCTTCCTCTCTGAAATCATTAAAAATATATTTTAAAAAATATTGCCATGGTCCATCAAGCTCAAATTCAACCCACCACTTCCTCCTCAAAGATTTCCAGATTATTTCTTTTATCCTGTTTTAGAATTTCTGGAACTCTAATGGTTTTTGCCTAACTCCTTGGCATTTGCTTTCAAACTTTTTCTAACTGCGCTCTAGGAGTTTCATGGGTCAAACCTACTCTTCATCCCCAGTGAGTAAGTCCCTGAGAGCAGGGCTGCAACTTCTATCCTAAAGTGCTTGTCAGAGTGCTGAGCCCACAGTATGTTTTCAGTCAAAACTCCTTGAATGGACTACCCACTACTCACTCTGATCCTGAGAGGAATGGAAAAGGAACCATTCACATCCTCTTCATACATGAGAGTTTCCCAGGTCTCTGGAACAGAGCAAAGCACAGCGCTCTCTTGGGCTCTGGCCTGTGGCCTGGGCTTCAGTTGCCTCATGCTCTGGCTCTGAGCTAACTATGCATAGGCCAGGAAGAGCAGTGTTGCAGATGGCAGTGGAATGGCCTCCTCCTAACAAGAGGAGATATATGCAGGGCTTGAGCCATTTCTTGTGGGCACACAAGCCTTCAGACTTCTAGGGTTTGGGGAAAGAAAGGGGCAGGCATTCAAGAGCTCCTAGGTGGCAAATTTCACTTCAGTGTCATGAAAAACATGAGAGCAAGCTATCAGATAAGGTGCTGAGTTCTTTTCTCTGCTTAAAAAAACCCTTCCCGTCCTGGCTGGTGTGGCTCAGTTGGTTGGGGCATTATCCCGTGCACCAAAGGGTTGTGGTTCCATTCCCAGTCAGAGCACATACCCAGGTTGCTGTTTGATCCCCAGTCTGAGTGTGCACAGTGGGCAACCAATCGATGTTTTTCTCTCACATAGATGTTTCTCTCTCTCCCTCTCCCTCTCCCTTTCTCTCTCTCTAAAATCAATACAAAACATATCCTTGGGTGAGGATGAAAAAAATACCCTTTCCTCTGGCTCCCCCTTGCCTGGCAGGATAAAGCCAAAGCCCCTTAATATGGCAAAGGCTTCAGGACTTGACCTCTAGTCCTGAAGCTTCATCTCTCACTCTTCCCCATCTTGACTATAGTGTCCACCAAACTGAGCTACTTATTATGCTGTTCCTTCTGCCTTGAATGCTATTCCCTATCTTGTATGACAAACCTCTTTTCACTTGTCTGTGGGTATTTCAAGACTTAATTCAGGCATCACTTACTCCAAGAAGGCTTCCCTAAAGCTCTTGGCTAGGTTAGGGAACCTCCTATAGACACCATAGGCCTGAGCTCCTTGAAGACAGGAACTGGGACTTCATTTAGCTCATATCCTGGCAGAGCATCATTGTCAATCAACGTTGAAGGAACAAAAAAATGTGAATGTTTGAGAAGAGGCCGGAAAACCACCTGACAGGAGTGTTATAAAAGTGGATGGAAGGTTCTAATATTTCAAGTTTTAAGAGTCAACAGTTCCCTAGTTCTTGGTGAAGATTCAGACTTGGGCTCCCCTCCCTCTGGATACCACTCCCCAGCTATCCGCCTCCACCGAGGGCCCTCTGGGTGTTTGTTCTCAGGAAGGCGCGCGGACACACACACACACACACACACACACACACACACGCACAGGCTCTGAACATAACCGGGAAAGCAATTTAACAAGAAATAATTGCCGGTCGATGTGTGCTTGGGAACAGCAGTGAGCTCAGACTATTTCTGTCTGTGCGTCAGCCTACCCGCTTCCTTCCTCCTCGGCTGCCCTGGGGGAGGGGGGGCTCCTGCTGCACAGGGTGGGCAGTTTGTTTCCCACCCAAGATTCAGACAAGCCAACCCCAGTGAGAGCCAGCTCTGAGGGTTGATTGAATTCAAACAAGAGAAGCTGAGTCTGGGGAATGGATGGGGAAGAGCTTTATGGGCCTGGGATGTGTAGGTCAACAAAGACAGCACACAGTCTATTTCCCCCCTATACCCACCCCATCCACACAGGCTCCTGCTGGGGAAATTCTACCAGGTCTTCAAGGCCCTGCTCAGTGTGAGGTCTCCTCCTAATCTCCAGCTCTGAGTCCTTTTTGTTCTTCTTGGCCAGTCTTGGTGAAAGGGTGGTCAAAGACCAGCAGCGGCAATATCACCTGGAACTACTTAGAAATGCAAATTCTGGGGACTTTCTCCAGACCTACTGCACACTCTGAGGGGGGAGAGAGGAGGACCCAGCAATCTGTGTTTTCACAAGCCCTCCAGCTGATTCTGAAGTAGGCTCCAGAGAGCCATTGTTTTAGGCCACTGACAACCACTGGAGTTTTTAGATTTTACAGATTATCTTCCCCTATCAGACCTAAAGGCAAGGGCAACATTGGATTCTTCCTAACAACCCCCCAGATGGACCAGTATAAAAAGAGTTCTGAGAAAAATTGGATTTTACTGATGGGGATGCTAAGGAAAGCGGTCGGATCTGTCCTGTGAAAGATCACACAGAACATCAGAGACTAAACTTCCTGCAACGTGCAGTTCCTGGGCTATGCTAGGCTCTCTCACTGTTTTTGAACAGGTTGTACTCTGACCATAATGTCTTCTGACCTTGTCTTACCTGGAAACTCTGACTCATCTTTGATGATTCAGCTCAGACATCACATTGCTTTCTCAAGCTGCATGAAGGGCTGCCTTTGGGCCAACTGCCCTTTTGTGTGCCTACCTTGCCCTCCAGATGATCCCCTGAGGGCAGCTGCTGTGGCTGATGCCCTTTTGTTTCTGGTAACCTGCACAGGTCCTGGCACAGAAGATGCCACTGAATATACAAGAAGTAGACAAAAGTGCTGGGTTTAGAATGCTGAAAAAAAAGATACACACATGCACAGAAGACAACAAATAAAGCAAGACCAGAACTGAGGCCTCTTGGCTTCCAGCCTAGGGTACTTCTGTGGGTGACTCACCCGGCCTTGCCACCCCATCATGTGCCCTTGGCTGGCTCGAGCTCCATGTACAGATATCTAAGAGTGACCAATTCACTGTTGTCAAATCCAGCAGCAGGTTGTGTCACTGTGAGAAATGTCAAGAGCTGCTTTTAGTGGCTACTGAGTCTCACCAATACTTGCCTTGCACTTCAAGGCAAAGCCTAAAGCCACTGCTAAAGTTAAGATGAAGAAAACGGGGGGGGGGGGGTGCTCCTCTGTACCTGCTACATGGGATGCTGCTCTCTTCATGAATCACTTAATTAAGCCAATTAGACTTTCAAAATAAATTTTAAAAGAGAACAAATGAGAGAGAGGGGTAGCAGTCAGCATTCTGCCCTAAGATTTCTTTGCTATCAGCTTAATTTAAGAAAAAAAAAAAGCTTTCCATTTTCCAACTCTGTTCTAAGTACTTGGCACAAAAAAAGTAATTTAATCCTCCAAAATCCTATAAGGTAGGTACTACTATTATACCTACCTAGATGGATGAGCAGGGACAAGATTTGAACCAGGCATTGGCTCCAGAGTACCTGCTCTTACTGTTATATTGAAAAAACATCCATTTTTAATTTTAAAATATTTGTAGTACTTTCATGTTTATGAAGGGGGTTCATATCCATCATCTCTGAACACTTGCCCTAACCCAGCAAAGGAACCGAGGCTCAGGGAGACTAAGGGACTTCATCAAGAACACACAGGTCAGGAAGTGGCCAAGCCCACCTTGTGGAGCCTGTGTTTGGTCTGCTAACCATTCATTCCCTCACTTACTTGTTGATTCACTCACCTAAGGTATCTATAGATATAAAAGGCTAATATGCTAAGTGTTCCTCCACCCGGCCGAACGGTTGCTATGATGCACACAGACCACCAGGGGGCAGACGCTGAACGCAGGAGCTGCTGAACCGCAGTGACTTAGCAGCAGTGGTTTTCGGGTGACACACCCCAAAACCAGAGAGGCGGGAGCAGTGAGATTCCACCTTCGGCTGTGGGTTATGTTGTTGCTGGGGCACTGTCAGCCCCGAATCTGGTTTACTGCATGCTTGCATTTGTGTTCCACACCCTGTACAACAGCAACTTTGCAGAGCGCCCTCTCACACTCTGGGACCCCTTGGGGGATGTCAGAGAGCCAGTTTCAGCCCAATCCTCACAGGCCAGGTCGAGGGACCTCACCTGCCAGAGGGACCCCATTCACTCCACAGACCCCTTTTGAGCCACAGTGCCACCCGAGGCGTGGCCAGCCAGGGAGGGACTGAGGGAAGTTGGCTCCAGGGCATGTCCGGCCCGTCTTGCCCAGTCCCACCCCACTGGCCACCTTCTAATTAATTTCCTTTCAATGTGCACGAATCCATGCACCGGGTCACTAGTTGAATGATACTAAACATGGTTGGGCCCTACGTACTTTACATTCCCTCTTGTTCTATTCCTTGGCAAGGGGCTCACTCTAAGAGTGGGGCAGAGCTGCTGGAGAGGCAGGAGTCACTTGCCTCCGGTACCAGTCATCTTCCATGGTACCCTTAGTATACCTGCTCTGTGGCAGGAAGAACAAGTCAGGGTTCTGACTCTTCAGGTTAGGTGAGGGGCTCGTCTGAGCCTCCTCAGGCCCCAGGCTTCTCTTTTATTGCATGGAGTTGTTACTGATCATTTTACTTGGGATCCATGACTGAACTCCCTTTGGCTCATAGTGGGCCAGGCAGAGCAGAATAGCTGGGTCCACAGCAGGCCCTGGGTAGATTGACTGGAAAAAGCCTTCATTTATCTCGTTCGTCCCATTTTGATCAAGTCCCTTTGATCATCCCTACCCCCACCTTTCACTGAAAAGAGACTCCAGAAGAGGATGGTGTAGAGAAGTTTATTGGATGTCTATGGGTCTGGTCCGTGTGCGATTAGATTGGGGACAAGGGCCTCCTCAGGGCTGCCTGGAATGTCACTGGTAGTCACTGTGGCCATGAAGCAGTACTGGAAGAGGTGTTTGGGGTCCATCGCCTGCTCCTCATTGCAGTCCAGCCGTGAGTTCAGGAAGGGGTGACTCTGCCTTAGAGAATTCACTCCTGGTATCTCCACCAACTTGCCTGTATTCCCATCTTGGCAGTCAGGGGACATTTCCTCGGGTTCTGGAAAACAGCAAGCTGAGGGCATAGGGTTTCCTCCTGCATCCCATTCCTCCCATCAGGCTCACACACCCTGGCTAACTTCCCTGAGTGCTTATCTTGGGCAGGTAGGACTGTGCTCAGAATCTTAACACTCATTTAACAAATATTTATTAGTTTATTAGCAATATACCATGCCTTGCACTAGGAGCTGTCAGTGTTCCTAATGAACTTAAAGTTTAGTGGGGGAGACAGACTAAACAATTGTTAGGAGATATGAAGACTTGATCTTCAACATAAACCCATGAGGTAGGTACTATTAAAAAACTAATTTTATAGATAAGGATACAAGCTTATTTCACAACCAGTAGGCAGAGAAGTGCTGGAAAATGTAAAAACATACATTATTTTAATAGATTCCATGACTTTCTTTATTATTGCTTTATCCTCTCCTCCTCTTATATCTGAATTTGAAAGGAGGCTCACTTGGCTTTATTATTCTCCACTTCCCTGACTTATTCTGCTGCAATATTCTTGGTTCTGCCCCCACCACACCTTAAAACATTTGTCTCTAAATCCATGGTCATTTATAAGTCCTTATCTCGCTAGGCTTATCAGCATTTGACACAATTGGGCATTCCTGCCTAAAAAATGTATCAAGTGTTCAGCCAGAAATGTGAGTCATCTCTTAGACCTTCTCCTCCAATCCCTTCACAAAGCCAAGCAGTTCACCAGGTCCTGCTGATTCCCCCAAATCACTGTCTGCCATATTCATCCATTTCTCTCCATCCTCAAAGCTACCACCTTTGGTAAGGCATTCAACTTCTGCCCAGAGCACTGGAACAGCCTCTAGTCAGGCCCCCTCCAGGCTATCCTCTGGGCTGTAGCCAGAGAGATCTTTCTAAGGTCAAGTGAGTCCAGGGACTATTCTTTTTCAAAAGTCTTCAAATGTCTTACCATTGACTGTGATATTTCAAAGCTCTTCACCACTGGTCCCATCTCTTCTCTTCAGCTTCATTACTAACCACTCTTCCCTCATTAACTCTATGCTTTGCCACACCAAAATTTTCATTGTTCCCTAAATGGGTCCATTCCTTCACATCTCTGGGTCTTTGTGATGTTTCTTCTAGAATGACATTTTATACCTTCTCTTTCTAGAAAACTCATATACTATAAGACCCATTGATGGAGGATATCTAGGGAAAAAAATGGTGCCTTTGAAAACAAGGGAAGAGTGAATTTCAAGAAGGATGTACTGGATATTGGAGTTGGCTACCCAAATCCATTTTTCCCCTTCCCTACCTGGTAATAGCAATTATAGTAGGGTGGGATTGGCTTCATCTCAGTGACAGGAGTGGGACCCGATTGATCTGAAGCAATCAAGTAATTCCATTTCTTTGCCATGTGGATGGGAAATCAAGTCATAGCATTTCCCTGGGCACAGTGATTGATTTAGGGGTGGGCACATGACCTAAGGTGATCTAATCAGAATAGAGCTCAGGCCTTTATATTTACCCCCGACTAAAGGAAAATAATAGCCCCCTCTTTCTCCTCCCGGTGCATAGAAGGGAACAAAAAGCATGTAGTCTCAGGGAATGCTGGCAGTCAACTTAGTGCCATGAGAAAAGTCAGTCTGAGGAGAAAGCCAACATAAATAGAGGGCAGAATCTCAGAGGATGTAGTCACAAGCCTGAGGACATTGTGAACTTCTATTCAAACCATGCCTAAAGCCCACCCTTACTTTTGGACTAATCACCTACAGAGTGAATAAATTTCCTTTTGAATTTTTTTTTAATTTTTTCTTTTTAAACTATTTAAGACTCACAAGAAGTTACTAAAATAGTACAGTTCCATATATCTTTCACCTAGCTTTCCCCATTGATAATCCTATATAATAAAAGCCTAATATGCTAAGTGTCTGGCCCAGTTGGCAATTCAACCAATCAAAGCGTAATATGCTAATGATATGCTATGCTCGCTATGATGTGCACTGACCACCAGGGGGCAGGCAGTCGACCAGCCAGCCATTTGGTCACTTAGGCTTTTATATATAGAGATTAACTAAGCTATTATTGGTCCTATTCAATTATAACAGTTTTTATATATACTTTTTTTGGTGTTTAGTACTATAAAAGTTTATCACATATGTAGCTTTTTATAATGACTGCCACAATCAGGATAAAGAATTGTTCTATCACCACAAAGAAACTTCTTCATGCTACTCCTTTATATAGTCATACCTTCCTCCTAAACCTAATTCCTGGTAACCACTGATCCATTCTCCATTTTTATAATTTCATAATTTCAGAAGTGTTATATAAGTGGAATTATACAGTATATAACTTTTTGAGATTGGCTTCTTTTACTTTGCATAATACCCTTGAGATCCACTCAAAATATTGTGTGTATGGATAGTTCATTTCATTTCATAGCTACATATATTTCATTGTATGGTTGTACTATTTGCCCATTGAAGAACATTTGGGTTGTTTCCAGTTTTTATCTATTAAATATAAAGCTGCTATGAACATTCATGTATAGCTTTTGTATAGACATACATTTTTATTTTATAGGATAAATACCTAGCTGCATGATTGCTATTTTATATGGTAGAGTGGGCTGAACGGTGGTCCCCAAAGACATCAGGTCCTAATCTCTAGACTCTGTAAATGTTGCCATATATGGTAAAGTTTTTGCAGATGTAATTAAATTGAAAAATTTGAGGAGATTACCCTGAATTATCTAGGTGGGCCCAAAGTGTCATCACAAGTGCCCTTATATGGGAAAGGCAGAAGGAGATAGACACACACAGATAGTGATAGGAAGACAGAGACAGAGATTAGAGTGATGCAGCTACAAGCAAAGGAATGCTGGCAGTCACCAGACAAAGAGGCAAGGGACAGATTTCCCCCTAGAGACTTTAATTTTGGTCCAGCAAAATTAATTTTGAGCTTCTGGCCCCTAGAATTGTGAGAGAATAACTTTCTATTATGTTAAGCCACCAAGTTTATGGTAATTTGTTACACTGGCCATAGGAAATTAATAAATATAATAGATGTATGGTTAACTTTATGAAAACACCAAACTGTCTTCCAAAAGTTGCTTCACCCCTTACTCGGTATTGCCAGTGTTTTTACTTTAGTATTCTGATAGCTTTATGCTCATTAGTATTCTGTAGCTTTATATTCATTTCCTTACCAGCTCATGAAGGTGAAATATTTTTTCATGTGCTTATTTGCTATCTGTGAAGTAACTGTTAAAGTCTTTTGCACATTTCTTAATGGTATTGTTTGTTTTCTTAGTGTTACGTTTTGGGGGTTCTTTATGTATTCTGGATAAAAGTCCTTTGTTGGCATATTATTCCCCAGTAAAGGGCAAAAGTCCCCAGCTCTTCAGCTGATACTTACATCAATTGTTTCCTAGACCAAGCTGCCTCTGATCACCTTCTGATTGGTCGAAGTCCGTCTTAAATTATGGGGCTCTGAGCAGGAGAGCAGTTACTATAAGAATCATGTTTGGCTGAAATGCAGTGGTACAACAATCTTATCTGATCAAACTTGGAGGTGGGTATTATTATTCCATGTTATAGAAAAATAACTGAGGCCCAGGTAGAAAAAGTCAATATTGAAACAGCTATTGGGTATTGCATCCAGGATTCATTTTCCATTCAGTTTGATTCCAAAGCTTCGACTCTTACCATAGAGCAAGTTTAGCATTAGTATAAATTTTGAACTAGGCTAGTCCTTGGGATACACAGGCATTTAAGACATAGTTCCTATCTTTGAGATATCAACAAACACTGGGGAGACTAACATGTAAAATCTAAGTGCCTAATAATAATAAAAATGAGAGCTACTAATTGTTAAAAGCCTACCATGTGTCAGAGACTAATGGAGCTCCTATGTTAGCATCACCTCTAGTTTTCACAACTTTCTTAGTAGGTATTACTGTATACATTTTACAGAGTAAATTGAGGCCCAGAGAGAAGTGACTTACCTAAGGCCACACAATGAGAGTGACAGAGCCAGGCTCTCTGATGCCCTAGGCCAGGCTTGTGCCTTCCCACCATTATCCAAGGACCTCTGTGGCCAGTTCTCCCAGTGCCTGGGGCTCTCAATCTTGAATTGGGGACTAGCCTGTGGTGACCAGCCAGGAGAGGAATTCTTAGATTTTCTCCCTCCTTGCAGATGATTTAAAACTGACTCAGGTCCTTACTGCCCTGAAGGTAGATGATTATGATTGTGGCCAAGAGAAAGAGGATGTAAATTCCTTAAATCCCAGCAGAGAACTCTCCTTTCCCCTCCTCCCCTTTTATGTCTGTAGGTGCTCAGAGGGTCTGGGTTCACAGACATCTATCTTTTTTTTTTTTTAATATATTTTATTGATTTCCTACAGAGAGGAAGGGAGAGGGATAGAGAGTTAGAAACATCGATGAGAGAGAAACATCGATCAGCTGCCTCCTGCACACTCCTCACTGGGTATGTGCCCACAACCAAGGTACATGCCCTTGACCGGAATTGAACCTGGGACCCTTGAGTCCGCAGGCCGATGCTCTATCCACGGGGCCAGACAGGTCAGGGCCAGACATCTATCTTAAGGCAAGAAAAAGAGGAGGGCCCTAATCCTTCAATGTTCTTTTGATTTACAGGTGACTCTTGTTACCAACATCTCATCTTTTGACCCAATCTCATTCATTTAACAGGATGTTTCATTCACTTGAATTAGCAGATACTCATATAATATTGTAAAGTGAAAACAACACATTGCAAAACATTATATATATATAAAATGTGCATTTATATCTGATATAATGCAAACAGTTATTGCACACCAAAAGGTAATACACTCTGTGTGACCTGACTTTATTTCATTTTTGCCTATCTGCATCTTCTCATTTTCCAATCAATGAATATATATGTGTATGTGTAAGTATTACTTGTGTCACAAAAAAATATTAAAATAAACAGAATAAAAGAACTTGTCAAGTAAAAAAAATACTGACTCATCACTGAGGCTTGTTTGGGTCACAGATACCAAAT